GGTGTCTTGAACCTGGTCTTCAGGTATTTGTGGCCATCTCTATTTATTTATGTTTTAAGTGAGGCTCATTGAGAGCTCAGTGGGTTTTTCAGGGTTGATTTTTAATCTTTTTTTGGAGTGTGATTTAGGGGTGAGACTCATACTCACTCTGAAAAGACTTGTATGAAGTCACCAAACTAATTATTGTGTGTTATTTTTGTTTACTCAAGGGTGGGGTGGAAAGTCTTGGTATTGTCTTTAAATAGTTATTACAAATAGGAATTGTAATAACGAAATTAAAAAGGGTAATTGGATTTAAATTTATCTAATAACTGGTATGATTTATAGACTTTTTTCAGGTGAGTGTCAGGCTAGAATATGTTTTTATCTGTCTGGGGAGGCTTCTGAGAAATCAGAGAGAAATCTAAGCCCCTCTTAGTTGGTGTGGGGAGTTGTTTTGCACTCTGAACCTGAATCTGCTCCAAAAAATGGGCTGAGGAGACATTATGGAGATGGAACAGAGGAACCTGCTGAGAACCCCTGAGGCACAGGGCCAAGGGCTTTATCCTGCTGGTGAAGCTTGACTTCCTTTTCTCCATCAATGCCAGGCAAAGCCACGATCTCCAACGATGGTGCCACCATCCTGAAGCTCCTCGACGTCGTCCATCCCGCCGCCAAGACCTTGGTGGACATCGCCAAATCCCAGGATGCAGAGGTGGGATGGGAGCCTGGCTGTGCTCGGGAACCTGTGGGGTTTGGGAATTGCTCGTGGAGTGCTGGGATTTATCCTGGTTTCTTTATTGATCCTCTCTCTTTTGGGATAACTTTCCAACGTTTTGAGCTCTTTCGCCCAGATCTCATGGGTGGTTTGGGAACTTCAAAGATAAAGTTTGTGTTTTATGAGTAGAGGAGATTGGGAAATGGGAGTTCACCCCTAAGTGGGATGTAGTCTAAACCCAGCTCTTCTTAGTCTAAGACCAAGTGCTGGTGCTGCATCTGGGCTGGGGCAATCCCTGGTGTCAGTCCAGGCTGGGGATGAAGCGATTGAGAGCAAAGAAAGACTTGGGGGTGTTGGTGGGTGAGAGGCTGGAGATGCCCCAGCCCAGACCCCCCCACGTGTCCTGATCCCCCAGCGTGGGCAGCAGGACAGGGGAGGATTCTGCCCCTCTACCCCTTCAGCTGAGACCCCCCTGCAGAGCTGCTTCCAGCCCTGGGAACAACAGCACAAGGACGTGGAGCTGCTGCAGAGAGTCCAGAGGAGGCCCCGGAGCTGCTGCCAGGGCTGGAGCCCCTCTGCTCTGGAGCCAGGCTGGGAGAGCTGGGGGGGTTCCCCTGGAGAAGAGAAGGCTCCAGGGAGAGCTGAGAGCCCCTTGCAGGACCTGAAGGGGCTCCAGGAGAGCTGGAGAGGGACTGGGGACAAGGCATGGAGGGACAGGACACAGGGAATGGATTAAGCTGAAGGAGGGGAGATTTAGGTGGGCTATTGGAAGGAATTGTTGTCTGTGAGGGTGGGGAGGCCCTGGCCCAGGTTGGGCAGAGAAGCTGTGGCTGCCCCTGGATCCCTGGAAGTGTCCAAGGCCAGGTTGGAGCAACCTGGTCTAGTGGAAGGTGTCCCTGCCCATGGCAGGGGGTGGAACAAGGTGAACTTTAATGTCCCTTCCAACCCAAACCATTCCACGATTCAATGAATCACTGAGGAATCTGCCCACAAATCCACAAGCAGAGAAAACCCTGAAATCTTGTTATCCCTGGAAGCCCCCCGTGGTTTTGCAGGTGCTGTCACAGCCTGTGGGTGACACTGTTCCCTCTCCTTGCAGGTTGGTGACGGCACCACGTCCGTGACTCTGCTGGCAGCCGAGTTCCTGAAGCAGGTGAAGCCCTACGTGGAGGAAGGGCTCCATCCCCAGATCATCATCCGAGCCTTCCGCACGGCCACGCAGCTGGTGAGCCTTCAGAGCACCTGGGGACAGGAGTTCTGTGCCACAGAGCCTCAGGGGGGACCTTCTGGCTCTGCAACTCCCTGACAGGATGGGGAACCAGGGGGGGTCGGGCTCTGCTCCCAGGGAACAAGGGACAGGAGGAGAGGGAACGGCCTTAAATTGCACCAGAAGAAGTT